AAAAAAAATAGTGTGAAAATTGTTAAGGAATACAACAGCTACGCGTATATAATAAAGATATTTCCGAGCTTTTCTTTTTTTCAACTTTTTCAATAAAAAAATTGCAAAAAAAAAATTTTTTTTTGATAGAAGGCAGTAGAAAGAGGGCTAAGTGAAGCATAAAACTATTGCTTTTATACTGACCGTTGCGCATAATCTTTGCTACGATAGAGAATTTGAACTATTTTTGTTTTTAAATTTCTTTTTCCAAAACGATCTCAGTGACTGCTGAAGAGCGATGATAGATACTGTTTGAAGAGCACTCTGAGTAATCAATCTCTCAGTTTAAACTTTTGTCTTGCACTCTCCTACTGAGTTCGTTTTAATTCGTTTATCATTTTGACGTTTTGCGTTTAGCTTTTACTTTTGCCTACAGATCCTTGACCCAATGTAATTGCAAAGCTATTGTTTGGCAGATCTGAAGGGTATGCTCGTCAAAATTTGGTATCGTTTACATTTGATAGTTACAAAACGGCCAAATCAAAATAAAACAAGACTTATTTTTGCATTCACTGTTGCAGTATCCAGTTCCATTGATTTTAGACGACGCTCTGCTTTTTTTTTTTTTTTATGCATTAACAGTTAATATCACTGATAGCCGAAAAAATATTGGGAAACTTCAAAAGTATTTCTGTTCTGGTTTTCAAATGTAGAAGCTAAATTTAATTTATTTTTTTTTATACAGAGGTTGATAAATTTTTTTGTTCTTGTTTATTTCTGAACGTCTATATTGCTTGGTTTAAAATACTTGAAGAAAAAATGAGAAATTTTGTGTCAATTAGAGAAGAGAAATAAAAAACACCTTTTCAATTTTTAAGTCACCAAATTTTGTTTAGTTTTCGCTGAACTGGTATTGACAAGGTGACAAAGAAAGAGGAGAAAAAAACGGTATAGCAAGAATGTTGCTGAAACTACAAAAAAATGTTCATCTTTTTTTGCTTTTAGTTGATCAACGTTATTATAAAAAAACGAAATGCAGTTACAGATACTTCAATATCTTAGGTGATACATATGTCTATTTTGATTATAATTTTATCGGCATATTTTCCTGTTGCTGTCTGTCACTGTTAATTACTGTGTTCTAGAATACTGTCAGTCTTTTGCCTTTGGTTTACAGAAATGTTGACTGCTATAGTTCGACGATGTGGTTGCATTTATTTAAGCCGATTTTGCTTTCTTTTGTACCTCGGTCAATTAAATTATGAACTGAAAAAGAGAAAGTGAGGAAAAGAATAGAAACAGAAACAGTAGGCAACAGAAACATTGAAGAATAAGTAAAAATGTTGTCAAGTTATCCTAATTTATTTTTACTTCGCTTTTTCTTCTGCTCAGATATATCTGTCATAGTTGTTTTTCAATTTTTTTTTCTTTTTTTTTTGTTATTTTTTAATATTTTATCTTTTTTTATCTTTCTTTATCTTTATTTATTTTTACTCTTGATCGAGGTCTTCTGCTTCTCGAGTCTTTTTTTTCTTTCCTTTCCAATCTTCTTATATGCTTTCTTTTTCCTGCTCTGCTCCTTCAGTTTCGTCCAGCTTCTATCCGCTTATTAATTTACGCCTTCTCCTTTGACCCGTCGTCTAAAAACGATTTTTTCAATCAAATATCTGGTGCTAAACAAAATATAAACCAGTGATTGTTCGAAAAAAAACTAGAGACAAGAAAAAAACAAAAAACTAGCGCGATAAAAATTTTTTATTATAGAGCAGCAATGAAGTGCTATTATACCGCTCTGTTCCTCATAGTTGTGCTACTTACAACGCTGTTGTCGAACACGGATGCTTGCACCTGTGAAGACGCAACTGTTCAGGAAGCCTTCTGTCGAACGGACTGGGGTCAGTCTTTTCCATTCCCTTCGAAAAAATTTCTTTTTTTGCGCCTGAAACTGTATAACTAATGATGACCAAGTACCAAACAATAAAATGAATATTTCATGCTATTAAACAGAATCTGTTCATAACTGATTTTTACATTTCATTTAACCTTTTTTTCTAAGCACATTTTTTACCTACTTTTTTCATTGAAAAATGAGTTATGCTGAAGATTCAACTGTTTTAGTAACTCATGCGCATGTCGAACATGGTACCGCTGCAAATAAGACCGAAGTCGAACCACCCTTGCCTGTAGATTATTATCGATACACTGTCAAACATGTTGAAATATTCAAGGTTTTTTTGAACTTTAAACTATTTCAAGCAGAAAATACATTGTGCTTAAATCAGTTACGATGATTTCATAATTCTATTAAAACAAAACTTTCAGATTGCTCTACATGTATTATCTGCTGTGAATGTTGTATTAAATAAGCAGTTTTTGAGAGGTCACGTAAAGTGTTTTGTCTGATCATAAATTAGCAACTGTGACTTAATTTCAGTTTCCACTTCAACTTTGTGCTTAGAATTTTACCCATTTTAGGCGCCTATGGAATATAATGGAACTTTGTCAACTGCCGTCTACACTCCAGTTGACTCATCCGCTTGCGGGGTTCAACTTGAAGTAGGAAAAGACTATCTGCTGTCAGGTAACTGTTATAAAATGCTTTTCTTTTATGTTGTTGAGTAGCATGCTTCAAATAATTTTGGGCTTATTCGTTGGCTTCTTGTTCAAACGTTTATTTTTGTTTTAAAAAGACTAAATAGATTTGGTTTTTCATTTTTTTTCCTTTTTTTTATAAAATTACACTTTTTTTTAAGGTGCTGTCAATAACGGTAAACTAATGACGAACATTTGTAACCAGCTTCGAGAACCGTCTTACACAGGTGTTACTATGGAGTGGTCGGCAGTTTCTGATGATTTGAAAAAAAAGTTACAGAACAAAGAATTGTCATCGTGTGATTAATAATCTCTTTTATGTCATAAAATAAACCGTATTGCATTGTTTTTCAGCAGAAACAGTATTTATCTGTTGCTTAACAGTAATGAAAAGTTAGAGGTAGTTGAAATTTCCTTCTGAGTTTTGTTTCAACTACAATAGGTATACTTCAGTCAAAACAAAGA